GGAGGAGAAACAATTGTGTGATGTTCGATATCGTTGAAATTTCTGAAAGTTTCGTCAGTTCGTTTTTCACAATTATCTTTGGTTATGTATATGTCATTGTATTATTAATTTTTATTCCTTCAATTGTACACCGTTCACAGCCATATTTAGCATTGTGTCCTTTTATACCTTTCAAGAATGATCGAGCCGGTGTATCACATACAAAACATTTGATTTTTACTTCATATTGTTTACCGTTAATATCTATGCCACTATGCTTAAGATCGTTAATTTCTAAAATAAATTGACATAAAAATTCTTCTACATCCTTCGGTTTATGATTTCCTGAGTATAATGCTGTGACAAATGGAGAATAAACGTCAGGTTCAAAGTAAACTTTTACGAGTATAGGTCATACAACTTTTGCACTAGATTTAAATAGTTTTATGCCATCGATATTAATAATTAAATTTAAAGTATTGCTGTTATGTATATCGTTATTTACACAAGACTGTAGGCCTTGTTTAATACCAAAGTAAGTAAATTGTCCCTCAGTGCCGTCAGAATCTGTCATTGTAATTATTTTGTATGTTGCAGTATTTGTCTGCAAAAAGGTTTTTGCGGATTTTGGCAATGAAGGCATTAACCTAGTCCGAAAAATATTTAACAACTTATCTAAAGTTGATTGCGGAACTTGACATTCTAAAGCCCATGCTCTTAATTTTTTTTCTTTGTCTGCATCAGTGGGTTCAGTTTCTACGTGAGTCTCAGGATCATTAACATCATTATCTTCGTTTTCTTCATATATCTCATCGTTGTTACACTCACTAGAATCATCACTATTAGTGTCTTGATTATTAATTTTATTTTCAGAAACTGAAATAGATTCTTGGGTGTCAAATACAGGTTCTTTTCTTAAATCATTGGAATTGCCACAATGCTCTTTTATTTTTGATTCCACGCCGCTCCTCAATTTTTTGTTTTGCCTATTAATACTAATTTGTTTAATGTGTCTTTTCAATTTTAAAGTATTTCTATATTTGGAAGCTCTGTATCTCGCAGAGAATAATTTCAAATTTTTATCCATTTTAAAACGTCTAGATTATTTAGATATATTTGCAGACTGCAGTACATAAATCTCTCGATTCCTAGCCTAACTAATTCCGAATGTCATATTTTATGCCAGAAATGTCATATTTCATGTCAGAAATGATCTTTTCCCAGCCTTGAATAGCACTGACTAGAAGTAGTCTGGAAAAAACTAGCGCCAGACTACTTCTAATTAGACATTATTAACATAGTATATTTCTAGCACCTCGTTAGAAATAGCTTGACGCTGATTCGCGCCACTTCAAAACTAAATTTATTATATTAAATAGGGATACAACATGACAGTCAAGATAGGAGCTAGCTAGACATCAGGATCTAGCGTGGCACTTTCTACCAGGGTAATTACTAATATATAAATAAAAAGTAATATTTAAATATATAAATTAATATTTTAATATACTATTTAATAATTTTGTGTTTAACAGACAAAAAATTTTTGCTAAAAATTCACATAATATATAATTTTATAAAAATTTTCCATTTTATAGATATAATCAAACAGATGATTTAAGGAATATAACACAAATTATTTTACATGCATATCCAGATAATACAAATGTATTTATTATAAAAGAATTTATATCTCTTTGGATGGTGGAAAACTATTATTATCCTATGTTGTACGTGACACGAAACTATTCGACTAACAAGACAGTATTCGAATATCGCTATTTTACTGACAAGGACACAAAACATCTTCAAACATTTGTGACATATACATCAAAATCAAAGCTGAACTTTGAAGAGATTTTTGTCAATAAATCCTTTTGGATATTACCGCAAAGATCGATAGTAATAACGGAAGAATTTGATGAAAATGATTGGATTATAGTCAATTTACAACAAATAGGTATGTATAAAACATTAATGTTATTATGTTTTATTTCGGTATCTTTTTTGCTTTTTAATGTTACGCACCTTAATGTTCGTCACATATGTACTCGCATACTCGCAAGTGCGTGTGTCACTCATGCTTACAAGCAAACATTCTCACACATTAATCGCTCCTACACTTTTTTCAAACAAGTTTAAAATATTTTATTAAATAATAAATAATCTGAGAAATTGTTTCACAAAAAACAATAAAAATTATTTAATAATTATTTTTTGATAAATTTTTTCAAGAGATTTTAATCATAAAAACTTTCTTTTTATTATAGGATATTATCGTGTTAATTATGATACTGATAATTGGCTTAAACTTGCGCAGTACATGAATTCTACGAAATATATCGACATACATGTTCTCAATCGAGCGCAAATCATAGATGATGCGTTTCACTTGTTCATACGTTATCAACTTAATTATGCTACGTTTTGGGAAATTACCGCATTTTAGCGCTAGAAACGAATTATGTAGTATGGTATCCGATGTTTAAAGCTTTTGAATATATGACTTTTATAATTTCAATAAAAGATGCTAATGACTTGAAGGTAGGTAGTAGCAAATTCCCATAAGAAAAATTGCATCATAATATTATTATGTATGCAGAATGATTCAATACAATCTGATGTCCTTGAAATGTCGTATTCTTGAGCGATTTTTAAAATAATTTTTTTTTAAGAAAATTTTGTTTGAAGGTGTATTTTGTGATATAATTGAAAATAGTTCGCTACTCGTTTACACGTAAGTCCGGTATAGCGAGCAGGCAAGGATTGTGCAACGCATGGTAAAAGTAACATAATATTTCGCAGTCATAGTGTGTGTGAGTGTGAGTAGCGAAGTTTTTCAATTATAACACAAAAGCTAAATTTCGGGCAAAATTTTGCAAAAAGAAAAATCGTTTTAAAAATCGTTCAAGAATATGATAGTTCAAGAACATTAGGTTGTTTTAAATTATTTTGTAAATTTGCATATGTATAAATATACATACATATCTTTTATAAATGACAATAAAATAAAATTTATATTATCTATCAATTTTTAGGAAATGATGGAAGAAATATTAAGTGGAGTTCTGTATGAAATAGGATACGTTGCACAACAATTCGAAAGCGACCTTACCGAATGTTTAAGACAGGAAGCCGTAAAATGGGCATGTATTATTGCTGACAAAGAATGCAGAGAAGTAGCCGAAATGCAAATGACAAGAGATCTATATTCTGAAAGTGGCACGTATGTTTTACAACCACAATACTTATATAAACAATTTCTGTTGCATTACGTATACTTATATTCTATACGTCAAATACTGTACTAGATAAATTATTTTATCACAAAATAAGCTAAATTTTTGTAAAAAATTCATTTTTCTGGTAACGCAGTTTTGTAACGCAATCAGAATGGAAAGCATGGATGTATTGTAATGGTTTGGTGTCAGCCAACAGCACTATTTGGTATGACGTATATGACAAATGGACAGCAACACCTGATGATATAAAATTTTTGGAATATTTAACTTGCAGTGAAAATCCTGAAATCATTTCTAATTATTTGTTTCTAAATTCGATTGATAGTATTTTATTACAACACAACAATACACGTGTTTACATATTTCTTCTTACCGTTGCAAAGCATGCAAGAAACGATATAGTTTGCGATTTTATTTTGCAAAATCTCAATAATAATACACTTATGTTTATCTCCAACACGTAATAATAATTTTTTTATAATTATATCTTTATATTTATAATTTTTATCCACCAGTGTGTTTTTCATTCTTATTGCCTTTTTAAATAACAATATTTATCACTTTACTTTTTTGCAGGCAAACCGACAAAATTGCAACATTAATTGTCATTATTACGCATCAACATGCTGTAGTGCAATTGAATAAGGTATATTTTTCTAACTTAAATAACACTCATTTTTTAGTTACTTAAAAATTTAGCTCATTTTTATTTGATTTTTCATGTACATACATGTCATATCTCAACTGATTATCTTTAACACCACAATTTATGCTCTCATAAACTGTAATACAAAAAAATTTATGTTTATTGATATTGTCTAAATAATTTGTCTTAGGTACTTAAATTCGCAAAAGTTAATTTCAGAGAAGAGCGACTAGTTGATGCTGTTGACGCAAAAATAAAAAGACGAAAATTGGAGTACGCAAGAAAAAGCAATAATTATGGGGTCATCGGTCTATTTCGGCATAAATAATATTTGTTTTATTTTATTATTCCTTCTTACAAGCAAATTTTTGTTGGAGCAGATATTTGTTTTTTTTATTTGCAATAAAACACAAAAACAAAAAATTATAAAAAATTGTTCGACAATTTTATATGCCTTATAGTCTATATTGAAGAAAGAATCGGCTCCAAAGAGCAAAATGTCCTTTGTTAGAAGATATTTTATTTTTTTTGCACCCTATGTGCGTTTAAAAATAATAGCTAATCAGTTAGCAACTTTCCATGGAACACTCATTTCTTAATTATTTATTATTCAGCTTATTTTTATTTGATTTCTTATATACATGACATTACTTTTAACACAGTAATTAATTTTTAATAAACTATAGTGCAAGAAAGTTTTAAGTTTATTGATTTTGTCGAAATAATTTGTCTTAGATACATATGTACACGTTAATTGAGTTGAGAGAAGAGCGACTAGATAATGTTGTTGAAACAAAAATTAAAAGACGAAGATTGGAGTACGCAAGAAAAGTCAGACACTATGGACTCATCGGTCGATCTGGGTTTAAATAATATTTGTTTAATTCAATTATTCCTTCTTACACTGCAAATTTTTGTTGGAGCAGATATTTGTCTTTTTTGATTTGCAATAAAAAAAACAAAGAATTATGGAAGATTATTTGACAACTTTATAAATCTTTTAGTCTACATTGAAAAAAGAATCAGCTTCAAAGTAAAAAATGTGTTTGGGGAAGTGTAATGTAACGTGGAAGAAAATAATTTTTTGTCTTTAATCCTTTCGTTCCTACTGTAACTACCCAGACAACACGCACGTTTTAATGATTTTTGATAGATGTTATTTTTTTGCTGACATCTTTTAAATGTCTTTAAGAAATGCGTGTTATCTGGATACGTATTTAAAATAAAATAATATTAAAATATAAATAATATTTAAATATTAATAATATTTAAATAATATTTAATAATATAATAAAATATTAATAATATTTAAATAATATTAAATAATATTATATCTTTCTTTATCTAATCTTATAAGTGTATTTTGGGATAAATTAAACTTGCCTTTGAAATAAATAAATTTTGATGAATTTTATTGCTTTCTTCACGGTACGATCTGGAGGATTTTATTATGGTGTACAAAAAACCGACATACTCAACTGTGGGCAATTTATTAATATGTAAATTAATGTAAATTGACATACATCAATTCCACTTTAAAAATAAGGATTTGAATTATATCTATCTAGTTTTTCATAAATGTCTTTTATAATGCCACGCGAAAAAAAAATGGCATTACTATATTATTAGCAATATTAAACAACCTTTTATATTATTTAACAATTTATTCCAAAACATTCTTCTATTTTTACCACGTTCTATAATTTTTAATAGATAGATAGATAGATCAGTTTCGGGATACATTTTTTTTTAATTCAATTTTTGTGTGCTTTAGAAAAACGTTAATTTCTTAAAAGTTAGACATATCCAGGTAAAAATTTTGTCTGGAAACAATCAAAGCCCCATATATTTAATGAAAAATATTTCTGGGATTCAGATGGAAAATTTAACTAGGCTTTGTGTAAAGTTTGGGACGCCTAAATCGAACAGGCCCTATCACTGAATCGATATTATATTAAAAAAGAAGACCCAAGATTACGCCCGAAATTTGTTCATAAAAATTATTTGGAATCTAGCTATGATCTATAATTTTTCTAGATATTTGCTTTGTTTGTACCATAATTATTTCTATAAACCAGTTTAATTCAGGCTTGAATTTAAAATTTTTCACTAGAATATTCCCTGGAATCCCAGCTCGACTTCGACTTTACTTTCTCTTCAATTTTCATAACCGCTAATTTCATTATTTTGTACCATGTGTAAATCATCCTTAAACTCAGAATTTCCATGTGCTTCGGTTTCTTTGTATGCACAGTCATTACTGGTTGTATGAAAATTAAGGTAAATTTCTAGAGTGTATTTTGGATCCAGACGGATATTTCGAACCAGATTTTTCCACCCAGGCCCTGTACTTAACCTCGACAACCCGAGGCAGATTTCTATCTGGATAATAATATAAAAAATATAATATTATTTAATAAAGGGCAGTGTCTAGTATATAAATTTTTATTGTGAGTTTTTAACTAATTGTAAGAGATAATTTATAAAAACAAAATGCTATGTCGGTTTCGACGATTTTCTTTGAAAAATCAACATTATGTTTATAGTTTTGTATATAGAATATTAAATTTATGTAATTGTTATTTAGCAAATGATATAAAAAGATATTATTTACTGTTTGTTAGTAACATATATGCGGATACTAGAAAACACATCAACAGTTACCATATAGTGTAACATGCGTCATATATTGGATGCTGAAACAATTAAAATTACAATGTGCTTGTTAAGTACTTTGAAATATATATTTTTTAAAAGTTAAGATATATTTTTTTATAATAAAATGTATGTATGTATGTATGTATGCCAGTGTTGTATTTTCAATTGTGTGCAGTTCAGTTTTTTATTTTCTTTTATAAAATTTAAAAATTTGCATATTATTCAACAGTATTATATAATTATCTTTACTTTAACCATTTGTAGGATGTTACTTATATTTTGCCAACTTACGTTTTATATAATCTACAATATAATTAAGTGAATCCTTTTCATCTTTATTAGAAGAAGTAGTAAAGAGAAAGGATTCCTATTGTGTTTTGACAATAAATAAATTCATTATGTCATAATCTTGAGAAATCTGAAAAATTTTAAATAATGAGATAAATATTTAGTCAACAAATTATAATTTTAAGCAATACAGCACGACTGATCGTTGCAAATAAATTTTTGAATTGTCTTTTTATTTTAATATAAATTATTTATTAAATAGTTATTAACAAAAGAGGTTTAATGAATACAACGTAGATTTCTAACACCGTGTATATTAAATAGAACTAACTGTTAGCAGATTTATCTATTTAAATATGGAAATATTGAATTGATGTATAGATTTTAGTCGTTACTCTACGTTTAAAAGTTTTGAATAATATAACAGGCTATTAATTATTAAAATTGGCACTTCAAATAAATATTCCTAAATATAATAAATGATTTTATAACAATCGATTTCTTTGTGGAACATAAAGAGCATAGTTATTTTGCATACTTTTCTCTGCCCTTCTAGCGACTAATAAAGTGTTTTCCTGTTGGGTGACCTCTTAGCAACTGTTTGTGTGGCATAAGATATATATTATATCAGTTACGAATATGCTTCTTAGTATTCGGAGACTTCTCGAAGCTAACTGAATCGCAGTTTGATTTATATACCTTTAGCATTCACGATTTGTGTGTAAGGCAATGTTAACTGTATTTTTCTTACAAAATTGTAAATTTTTACGTAGGATTGCATTTTAATTGACAATTTTAATATATGTAGGTAAGTGACTGTATATAATATTTCTATTTCAAAATATAGAAAAATGTATAAAGCACGATAAATACAACTTTATTTTCTCAAATCTCTCTTTGAATAAGTAACTGTGTCACTAATTTCTTTTTACTTTTACATTTTTTATCTTGTACAGTATGTGTTTCTTCATGTGCAATGATTAATCATCATTTCTGCGAAGTGATTTTGTGTGTGTGCGCGCGCAACTTGCTTGCGTGTATTTGAGAGAATAGATATTATAACTGATTAGAAACATAATAATTTAATATTTTAATGTTTCTCGGCTTGCTAACACTTTCTGTTACAATTTTGTTTTTTTTTTATTTTTGTATTCTAACAGGCATTTTTAAATATTTAAATATGTTTTTGATAATAGCTATAAGATTACTCATATATAATATTACTGTCTTTCTAAACACTATCAGACATATTTTATCAAGTTTACTTTTCATGTTTTTTTCACTTAATCTTACACTGAAAGAAAAGAATAACAGCAGTAACCATAATCAATAGTGCTTTTGGCGTCAAATATTTTTCTAAATGTTCTATGATAATTATATAATTGGCTATATGTTTGGTAATACTATACGTATAAAATTATTATTGCTAACATTACACTAACAATTTCTATAGAATTATCTATTAAAGTATCGTGACTATAATTATTGTACCATGCAATTATAGTCCAAAATATATCATGCACTTTTCTTTCAGTGTATCATGGTTTCTTCTATATCTTTTCAGTGTAAATTACTGTAATCGTTATTATATGCCTTTCTCTGTTATAAAAATTAAGAACTATGTATTGCAAATGTATCTTTTATTGCCAACAAACATTTCTTTCAGAAATTTCTTTTTATATAAAGAAAAATAAATATAATATTCTAAAACTTTTTAACAAATGACGAAATAATGTTAATTGCTACAATAGCACTTTGCACTGCTATTGAAAATGACACGACAGTTTGTTACCATTTACCGGATTATATAATATCATTTCATTATAATACCAATATAAGATTTAACTACAAAACAGATGACTTTATTGGTTAGTATAATATAACTCTATATGTATATTAATCACACACACACACACACACACACACACACACACACACACATTAAACAAAAATATATCTATGCGTTTAGCGGTCTTTACTATATTTAAATTGTTTTGTATGACAATTTTTTTAATGAAAAAATTTATGTTCCTAGATATTCATTTATTAATAAACTAAATAATTAATTTATTAATTTATTAATAATTAATTTATTAATAAACTAAACATGTTTATGATTGATGTTACCAAGACATCAAAACTGCAAAATATTACCGCCTGGAAGATACACTTTAATGATAGCATATATACGACACGTAAATTATAACAAAGAATACTTTATTACATTTTTATTCTCCAACCGAAGACTGGACAACATGTAAGTTAAAAATATATTTATTAAGTTCAAAATATATTCATTAAGTACATTAATTAGCCAGATGACATTCCAAAAATTGCGTATCACATGAAATAATCATAATAGTACTGAAGTAAATTCAACACTACATTTTAAAATGTTCGATTTTATGATGTAGAATTATATGTCCAATTGGTACATTCAAAAAATTCTGTGCAGTGTTATAAACTATGTTTCAATTTTTTTAAAACCCAATATTTTTTAGTCGATCCTTGAGCATAATTATATTAAAAATTTTATAAATACCATATTGTTAAAATATGACAGCTTAAATGCGACAGATGTTGATATAATGACTGCTCGACAACTATTCTCATGTTGGGACGAGATAGCACTTAATTCCACCTTTAAACTTTTTATCAAGCATTATAAAAACTGCACAGCTTTCTCAAATATGCATATACAAACAACAGAAAATGACAAACTTGAACATGACATGATGTGGACACATTTTGAGTTAATCAAAAATAATTATTAAATAAAAAATGTAAAACTATCGAGTAATATAATTTTAAAACGGAAAGATATACATATTTTTATATCATATTGTATTAATTAAGATTTAACTGAAATCTATATAATTTTACTTGCGTCACATTAAGAAGATATCATTACTTTTAGTTGAGATTAAAAATTGACATAATCATTCTTTACGTCACATCAGATTTTAGTGTAGTTTGAGTTTTAGAAGCATGAAAAATAACTGTTTGTTTTAAGTTGCACGAATCAAATGACTGCTATATAATCCCTTATTACATTATTGAATAAGAATACCAACTCAAAATTGTCAAAAGTGACTTTATTTTTATTTGTTATGAGATTAAGCTAAAATACCTTAAATACATTTTTTGCAAAAAACAGTTATAAAAAAATTTGTTTGTGGTTTTGTAATAATTTGTCATGTCTATAATATAAAGACAATAAATTGTTTAATTACAGCTAACATTGTCGATAAACTTTACATATTTAAAATCATTTTTCAGAGAAGCTGATATTTTTCATGTCGAACACTCAGATTCCGTTGGGCATAAATTGAAAGTGGCATGCCTTATAACAAATCAAATAGTATCTCTTTGGTATAATGATGAGTTGCTATGGTCGAAAGCAGGTTTTGTTACATTGCTTGCAATGTACATCTTATGTCAGGTATATTTTATATCAGGTTATTTTAAATTCTTATTATTGATACACTACATTTGGAAAACATTTAGATTTGCGTTAACAGTTACAATCGTCTTGACTTTCACATACCAAAGCCAATTGTTCTGACAATGAGTAATAAGAATAAAGTTTTCGTCACTCATTATTTATTAAAAAGTTATTAATAAAAGAAGTTTACTGAATAGGACGTAATTTTATGACACAAACTATACTTGATAAAATAAACTCTTATTCTTAGTAGATTTATTTATTTAAACATGATAAACGCGCGTAAAAAGGAGCTTTGCCCCTCTCTTTCTGCAACTAGATTCCAAGAAAACCTTATCGCCTACCCAATTCTAATATCTTTCGGAGAATAGTTTGATACGAAGTCCTTTTTCCTCTTATATCCCCGAATTTGTTTGTAATAATTATTCCTGCATTATAAAACAAGTGATAGTGATCTTTAATGTGCACGTATATATGTATGCATATATGTTACTTTTTGACACCGAGGGCACATAATTTCTCGTCTTGCATTTGATACAAATATATGATTAGATTTTCATCATTGTATGTCAAATGAAGAAATTCATGTAGCAACATATATATATAATGTTATAAATTTGTAACAGAAACTGCGTACTTTATATTACTCATATAACACAAGTAAAAGGAAAAGATTTGCTACATGATGATAGCATATGACCTTTCCTCAAAACTGCTGGGCAAGAAAAATTAGAGAGATATTTATTTAAAGTGCTAATTTTAATTGTTAATAACTTTTTATATTGTTCAAAGCTTTTAAATATAGATTAGATTAGATTAGATAAACATAGAACGACGACTAATTACATACATCAATTTTCCACGTTAAAATAAATAAATCTGTTAAGAGTTTGTTCTGTTTGATATACATAAATGTTAGAAAATTATGATGTATTTATTAAACTTTTTTCTTTAATTACTACATAATAAACAATATAGTTTATAATGAAAAAGAGTTTATTTGCAACGATCAGTCGTGCTGTATTGCTTAAAATTGTAATTTGTTGACTAAATATTTATCTCATTATTTAAAATTTTTCAGATTTCTCAAGATTATGACATAATGAATTTATTTATCGTCGAAACAGAAACGGAAATTTTTTCTTTTTGCTACTCTTTCAAATAAAAATGAAAAGAATTCACTTAGTTATCTTGTAGATCATTTAAAATGTAAGTTGGCAGAGTATAAGTAAAATCCTACAAATATAATATAATTGTGGTTTATGTAAACCACAATTGATTTTTACAGTTAGATCGAATTAACTTTGGTAGTCTTTTAAAGACTAATATTCAACATATATAGATACATAGATAGAGAAACTTTTATTCTTTATATTATAGTCAAAGTTTATTAATATAATTATAAGTTTATGTTATATAAAATATAACTGAAAATGTAAAAAATAAGATTTTTTGATAAGTAACGATTTTTATCTACAATTTTAAAAACAAGTTTAATTTATTCCAAATATAAGACTAGATAAAGAAAGACTTTTCAAATCCGAAAAGATATATCCAACATATTATCCTTTATGTATAATTACACATATATATTACTAATTACTAATTATACAAATATATAAATTAACACTTTCGCGACCGTTATACTAATATTCGTTTGTGTTCAACGCTTGAAGAGCCGCTCTATTATATTGAACTGATGTAAAATTCGTCATTTCATATTACACGACCTAATACCATGATGCAAAAAACAATTAACGCAAAATTACATGACCGGCTGTTGACTTATACCGAAGCATGAACGTAAAAATACGTGAGCGACCGCGAAAGTGTTAATATTTTAACATACTAAATATAATAATATTAAGTATCACAAACAAAAAATTTTTGCTAAAAATTCGCACAATGTACGTCTTTATAAAAATTTTCCATTTTTTAGATATAATCAAATAACTGACTTATGGAACATAATGCAAACTTTTATACCAAATAACTCAACCACATTTATTGTAAAAAGACTTATATCTGTTTGGATAGCGGAAAAATATTATCCTGTACTGTACGTGATACGAAGTTATTTGAATAATAGGACAATATTCAAATATCTCAATTTCGATTTTATTGACGAGGATACAGAATATCTTTCAGCATTCGTGACGTATACAACAAAATAAAAAATAAATTTTTACGATATTTTTGCAAATAAATTCTTTTGACTATCACCGCAGAAACCAGTAGTGCAAAAGTTTGATGAAAATGATTGGATTATAGTCAATTTACAACAAACAGGTAAATATTAAACTTATTATGTTTTATCTTTGTATCTTTTTTTATTTTTTTAATGTTGCGCATTCTAATGCTTGCGACACACGCACTCGCATATTCGAAACTGTGCGTGTCACTCATGCTCGCAAGCAACATTCTCACACGCTAATCGCACCTACCATTTTTTTAAAACAAATTGTTTAAAATATTTTATTAAAAAATTAATAATTTGAGAAAATGCTTCACAAACAACAATAAAAATGATTTAAAAATTATTTCTTGATAAATTTTTTCAAAAAATTTTAATCATGAAAGCTTTCTTTTTTATTATAGGATATTATCGTGTTAATTATGATACTGACAATTGGCTTAAACTTGCGCCGTACATGAATTCTACGAAATATATCGACATACATGTTCTCAATCGAGCGCAAATCATAGATGATGCGTTTCACTTGTTCATACGTTATCAACTTGATTATGCTACGTTTTGGAAAATTACCGAATTTTTAGCGCTAGAAACGAATTATGTAGTATGGTATCCGATGTTTAAAGCTTTTAAACATATGACTTTTATAGTTTCAATTAAAGATGCTAAAGACGTAATGGTAGATAATATCAAATTTCTATAAGAAAGATTGCATCATAATATTATGTTTACAGGGTAATTCAATACAACCTGATATCCTTGAAATGTCGTATTTTTGAGCAACATTTAAAATAATTTTCTGTTTAGCAAATTTTTGTCCAAAGGTTAGTTTTTGAGATATAATTGAAAATAATTTGTTACTCGTACATATGTGAGTCCGGTGTGATGGGCAGGCAGGGACTGTGCAACGCATCATAAAAGTAACGTAACACTTCACAGTCACAGTGTGTGTGAGTGTGAGTAGCGAAGTATTTTTAATTATAAAGAAAAGCCTAAGTTTCGGACAAAATTTTGCAAAAAGAACAATCGTTTTAGAAATTGCTCAAGGATATGATATTTCAAGAACATCAGGTTGTTTTGATTCATTTTGTATATAAAGAAGGTTAAAGTAAATTTATATATGTATAAATGTACATACATATTTTTTATAAATAACAATAGATTAAAATTTATATTATTTACCAATTTTTAGGAAAAGATGGAAAAAATATTGAGTGGAGTTCTGTATGAAATAAGATACGTTGCACAACTATTCGAAAGCTTTACCGAATGTTTAAAAGAGGAAGCCGTAGAATGGTATGTATTATTGGTAATAAAAAATACAGAGAAGTAATCAATATGCAAATGACAAAAGATCTATATTCTGAAAGTGCCACGTAAAATGTTTTACAATCACAATATTTATAGAAACCATTTCTGTTTTGCTTTACATGTACTTATATTATTTATCATCAAATACTGTACTAGATAAATTATTTTATCATAAAATAAGCTAAATTTTTGTAAGTCGCTCTTCTCCCAAATTAACTTTCGTGAATTCAAGTATCTAAGACAAACTATTTCGACAAAATCAGTAAATCTAAAACTTTTTCGCACAACAGTTTATGAGAGCATTAATTGCTGTGTTAAAGATAATGTCATATACATGAGAAATCAAATAAAAATAAGCTCAATATTAAGTAATTAAAAAATGAATGTTATTTAAGTTAGAAAAATATACTTTAGCCAATTGCTTTACAGCATGTTGGTGCGTAATAATGACAATTAATGTTGCAATTATGTCGGCTTATCCACCCGAGTCTTTTTTATTCTTATTGCCTTTTTAAATAATAATTTTTATCATTTTACTTTTTTGCAAGAAAGTCGACATAATTACAACATTAATTGTCATTATTACGCACCAACATGCTGTAGAGCAATTGGCTAAAGTATATTTTTCTAACTTAAGTAACACTCATTTCTTAATTATATATATATATATAAAGAGAGAAAGAAAGAGAGAGAGATAATTATAAAAAAATAATTATTACGTGTTGGAGGTGAACATTATCATTGTGTTTTATCATTGTTTTTATTAGTGTTTTATCATTGAGATGTTGCAATAAAAAATTGCAAACTGTATCGTTGCTTGCATGCTTTGCAACGGTAAGAAGAAATATGTATGTGTGCACGTGTACGGTTGCATTGTAATAAAAAATCATCAATCGAATTCAGCAGCAAATAATTAGAAATGACTTTAGGATCTTCACTGCAAGTTAAATATTTTGAAAATTTTTTATCATTAGATGTTGCTGTCCATCTGTACCATACAGCGTACCAATGGTGCTGTTTGCTGACACCAAACCATTACAATACATCTATCCTTTCCATTTCGATTGCGTTACTAAACTGTATTACCAGAAAAAAAGAATTTCTTACAAAGATTTAGCTTATTTTATGATAAAATAATTTATCTAAAACTGTATTTGATGTATGTAATATAAGAATACGTAATGCAACAAAAATTGTTTATATAAATATTGTGGTTGTACAACATCTTACATGCCATTTTCAGAATACAGATCTCTTGTCATTTGCATAATGGCTACTTCTCTGCATTCTTTGTTACCAATAATACATGCCCATTTTACGGCTTCCTCTCTTATTCAACATCCAGTAAGATCGCTTTTGTGTGGTTTTGCAACGTATCCTACTTTGTACAGAATTTCACTCAATATTTTTTCTATCTTTTCCGCAAAATTGGTAAGTAATATAAATTTCAATCTATTGTTCTTTATAAAAAATATGTATGTATATTTACACATATATAAATTTATTATATCATTCTTTATATACAAAGTGATTCAAAACAACCTTATGTTCTTGAAATATTATATCCTTGAGCGATTTCTAAAACGATTTTTCCTCTTCCAAAGTTTTGTAAACTGTATTACTGATACGTATACTAGCGATAAATTAAACTTGCTTTTGAAATAAATAAATTTTGATCAATTTTATTGCTTTTTTCACGGTACGACTTGGAGGATTTTATTAAAGTGTACCGAAAACCGATTTACTCAACGTGGGCGATTTATTGATATGCAAATTAATATAAACTAACATATAAATTCCAATTTAAGAACAAGGAATTAAATTATTAATATCTAGATTTTTATAAATGTCTTATCAAAAAAATGGCGTTACTATATTATTAGCAATATTAAACAATTTTTTATAATATTTAACCATTTATCGCAGTACATTTTTCTATTTCTAGCGTGTTCTACAAATGTTGATAGACACGCCTGTCTCGGAATACAATTTTCAATTTGTGTGTGCTTTAGAAGAACGTTAATTTCTTAAACGTTAGAAATAATCATATAAACAATTTAATATTATTTAATAAAGAACAGTGTCTAGTAAATAAATAATTCTTATAAGTTTTTACCTAATTTAAGAGATAATTTCTGAAAGCAAAATGCTATGTCTGTTTCGGCGATTTTTCTTGAAAAATCAACATTGTGTTTATAGTTTTGTAGATTTAAGATAACTCTATAGGTTTGAAACAGTTTACATTTATCCTTTTAAATTTTAGAATGTTAAATACATACGCCATTTTTCTTTAATATTAAATTTATGTAATTATTATCTAGCAAAAGATATAAAAAGATATTACTTACTGTTTGTTAGTAACATATATGCGGATACTAGTTCAAAACATATCAGGAGTTAATAAATGATGTAACATGCGATATATCAGATGCTAAAACAATTAAAATTATAATGTATTTGTTAAGTACTTTGAAATATATATTTTTTAAAAGTTAAGATATATTTTTTTATAATAAAATGTATGTATGTATGTCAGTACATTGTATTTTAAATTGTGTGCAATTCAGTTTTTTATTTTCTTCTATAAAATTTAAAAATTTGCATATTATTTAACAGTATTATTTAATTATCTTTACTTTAACCATTTGTAGGATTTTATTTATATTTTCTTAACTTACGTTTTACAGTGATTTTGGGGGTGGTTTTTCGGGTATGAAGGTGTCTTCCAACGCATGTATTGGATCGGTCTTTTTTGTACTTTGCTTGTGGATCTCGAAACTTCCTCTCTGCAAAAGGAGAAGAGCGACAAATCATTTTTAAAAAATCGCTCCAGGAACGTTCCAAACTTCAACCAGCTCTCCGCGGCCTATGCATTTGTCCGGATATTTCGTATCCAACACACGACGCGAGGGTAAAGGTGTATGAGGCGGTGCTCCGTCGTGTTGGAAAAACATTTGTCGTCTCTGATTTAAAGGCACATTTTCCATTAACTCTAATAAGTCAGTTTGCAAAAAATTGCTGTAAGTGTATCCCGTGAGTTTCATAGGCATTTCAAACGGACCGATCTAAAATTGTCATGTGAGAAATGAACTTCGTGGAATCTTACGCATTTTTGTACAAAATTGTAAAACATATTATCGAAGTGTTTAATATGCCAGCTCATAAATTAATGCTGAACCGATGCTGATGATACGTCTATTAGATGTTTATGAACGTCTATACGCGTCTAATATACTTACGTCTTTTCGACCAATCATTTCTCACTGGGTGGTTATTGCCACAAATATTTTATCTATTCGACAGAATTCCTTTTTAATCGGAATCCATAAGTAAAAATTGGCTGCCAATGTATGACAATTCTCTTATATTTTACAATTTAAAGGCGTCAGATAGCCCATCTCAACTAAAATCGCATTTTCATGACTTTAAATGGTGACAAATAAGTTCTGGTCGGTCAAAAACAGTTTAGATTATCAATATTACTTGTTACTTGTACTCAAAACTCAATGAAAAAAACGAAATTTATAAAATTTTATAGGAAATGCAACTTTATCATTGAAATAAACTTTTTCAGAATTTTGGTCCTCTGCCGTGTTTATCAAGTCCGCTATAAAAATATTTATTCGTATTTTTGTGCACATTACATAACAACTAAACCATTTATAAAAAAATTTTTACATTCTAAAAACGTTTAAGGACTTTTTTATTTGTTACTATCTAACAATAAATTTTATTTTTATTGCAACCATGTACAATAAGTTGCGCCTTTTTTTTAATTTTTGATTAGTAAATCTATTTAAAACATTTTAAGGAAATATAATTTTAAACATTAATTGCATTTATAAAATAACTTTTATTATCGAATTGTAACGGCGAAAAGTAAAGGATGATAATATTTTAATATTTTATTTCAAAATTTGTAAGTTTATATCAAAATACGTGTTAGAGTCATGTATACAAGACTAAAAAGAAACAAGTACAGGGTGTTCCATGGAAAGTTGCTAACTAATTAGCTATTATTTTTAAATGCATATAAGGAGCAAGAAAAATTATACAATATCTTCTAACAAAGGACATTTTACTCTTTGGAGCCGATTATTTTTTCGATATAGACTATAAGGGATATAAAATTGTCAAACAATTTTTTATAATTTTTTGTTTTTGTGTTTTATTGCAAATCGAAAAAGACAAATATCTGCTCCAACAAAAATTTGTTTGTAAGAAGGAATAATAAAATAAAACAAATATTATTGACGCCGAAATAGACCGATGAGCCCATAATTATTGCTTTTTCTTACGTACTCCAGTTTTCGTCTTTTAATTTTTGCGTTAACAGCATCAACTAGTCGCTCTTCTCTGAAATTAACTTTTGCGAATTTAAGTACCTAAGACAAATTATTTAGACAATATCAATAAACATAAATTTTTTTGCATTACAGTTTATGAGAGCATAAATTGTGGTGTTAAAGATAGTCAGTTGAGATATGACATGTATGTACATAAAAAATCAAATAAAAATGAGCTAAATTTTTAAGTAACTAAGAAATGAGTGTTATTTAAGTTAGAAAAATATACCTTATTCAATTGCACTACAGCATGTTGATGCGTAATAATGACAATTAATGTTGCAATTTTGTCGGTTTGTCTGCGAAAAAGTAAAGTGATAAATATTGTTATTTAAAAAGGCAATAAGAATAAAAAACCCACTGGTGGATAAAAATTATAAATATAAAGATATAATTATAAAAAAATTATTATTACGTGTTGGAGATGAACATAAGTGTATTATTATTGAGATTTTGCAAAATAAAATCACAAACTATATCGTTTCTTGCATGCTTTGCAACGGTAAGAAGAAATATGTGAACACGTGTATTGTTGCGTTGTAATAAAATACTATCAATCGAATTTAGAAGCAAATAATTAGAAATGATTTTAGGATCTTCACTGCAAGTTAAATATTCCAAAAAATTTATATCATCAGGTGTTGCTGTCCATTTGTCATATACGTCATACCAAATAGTGCTGTTGGCTGACACCAAACCATTACAATACATCCATGCTTTCCATTCTGATTGCGTTACAAAACTGCGTTACCAGAAAAAATAAATTTTTTACAAAAATTTAGCTTATTTTGTGATAAAATAATTTATCTAGTACAGTATTTGACGTATAGAATATAAGTATACGTAATGCAACAGAAATTGTTTATATAAGTATTGTGGTTGTAAAACATACGTGCCACTTTCAGAATATAGATCTCTTGTCATTTGCATTTCGGCTACTTCTCTGCATTCTTTGTTAGCAATAATACATGCCCATTTTACGGCTTCCTCTCTTAAACATTCGGTAAGGTCGCTTTCGAATAGTTGCGCAACGTATCTTATTTCAAACAAAACTCCACTCAATAATTTTTCCATCTTTTTCTAAAAATTGGTAAATAATATGAATTTCAATCTATTGTTCTCTATAAAAGATATGTATGTATATTTATATATATATACATTTATTTAACTTTCTTTATATGCAAAGTGATTCAAAACAATCTGATGTTCATGAAATATCATATCCTTGAGCGATTTCTAAAACAATAATTTCTCTTGCAAAATTTTGTTTGCAACTTTTTGTTTGCAAGCTTTTGAATTATAATTGAAAATAATTCGCTACTCACACTCACACGCACTGTGACTGCGTTACATTACTCTTATGATGCGTTGCACAGTCCGTGCCTGCACGCTGTACCAAACTTACGTGTGTACAAGTAACAAACTATTTTCAATTATGTCTCAAAAACTAACCTTCCAACAAAATTTTGTTAAATAAAAAATTATTTTAGAAACTGCTCAAGAATATGACATTACAAGGACATCAGATTGTATTGAATCATCCTGTACACATAATATTATGATACAATCTTTCTTATAGAATTTGCTACTACTAACCTTTACGTCATTAGCATCTTTAATTGCAACAATAAGAGTCATATATTCAAAAGCTTTAAACATAGGATACCATACCACATAATCCATTTCTTGTGACAAAAATGCAGAAATTTTCCAAAACGTAACATAATCAAGTTGTTCATGTGTTAAGAAGTAAAACGCATCATCTATGATTTGGGCTCTATTGAGAACATGTATGTCGATATAATTCGTAGAATTCATGTATTGTGCAAGTATAAGCCAATTTTTAGTATCATAATTAACACGATAATATCCTATTATAAAAAGAAAAATTTTCATCATTAAAGTTTCTTGATAAAATTTAACAAAAAATAATATCAAATTCCGCTTTTTGTGAAACAGTTTTTCAAATTATCTATTTTTTAATAAAATACTTTCAACAATTTGTTATAAAAAAAACAGTAAGAGCGAATAGCGTGAGAGTGTACGAATAGTCTGAGAATTTGTGCTTGCGAGTGACACGCACAACTGTGCGAGTGCATGTGTCACGAGCATTAGGGTGCATAAGATTAAAAAAGCAAAAAAATATTACGATAAAACATAATAAGTGTAATGTTTTACCTATTTTTTGTAAATTGACTAGAATCCAATCATCTTTATCCAACTTTTTCCATATTAATTTGATTTCTTGTGGTGCTATCCATAAGGAATTATTGGGATATATGTCTTCAAAGTTCATGATTGATTTTGTCGTATATGTCACGAATGCTGAAAAGAGTTCTGTATCCTCGTCAATAAAATCGAAATTGAGGTATTCAAATATTGTCAAGTTTTTCAAATAACTACGTGTCACGTATAGTACAGGATAATATTTTTCCGCTATCCAATCAGATATAAGTCCTTTTATAAAAGATTTGCTTGAATTATCTGGATACGTATGTAAGACAATTTGCATAATGTTCCATAAATTATTTGTTTGATTATATCTGTAAAATAAAAAATTTCTATAAGAATATACACTATGCGAATTTTAAGCGAAAATTTTTTGTTTGCTGAACACAAAATTATTATTTAGTACATTAAAATATTAATTTATATAGTTGTATAATTATATTATTATATATTTGTATAATTAGTAATTAGTAATATTAATATAATTGTACATAAAAGATATGTAGGATATATGTTTTTGGATTTGGAAAATCTTTCTTTATCTATAATATTTGGGTAAATTAAACTTATTTTTTAAAAGAAATTTGGATCAATTTTACTGCTTTCTCACAATTTGGTGAATTTTATTAAGGGGTACAGAAAACCGACTTATTTAACTGTGGTAATTTATTAATATGTAAATTAACGTAAATTGACATACATAAATTGCACTTTAAAAACAAGGAATTGAATTATATCTATCTAGTTTTTCATAACTATTTTTTATCATGCTACACCAAAAGAAAATCGTATTATTATATTATTAGAAATATTAAACAATTTTTTATATTATTTAACAATGTATTGCGGTACATTTGTATATTTCTAACATGCTGTATAACTTTTAATAGATACATTGATTTCGGGACTTATTTTTTTGAGCTCAATATTTGTGTGCTTTAGAAAAACGTTAATTTCTTAAAAGTTAGAAATAATAACAAAAAAATACAATATTATATAAATTTTTATTTTAAGTTTTTAACTAATTGTAAGAGATTATTTCTAAAAATAAAACGATATGTTCGTTTTGGTGATTTTCCTTGAAAAATCAAACGTTATGTTTACAATTGTTTACAGTTATGTAGCTTTAAGATTACTCGATAGGTTTGAAGCAGTATATATTTATCCTTTTGAATTGTAAAATTTTAAATACATCATTTTTCTTCAATATTCTGTTTATGTAATTATTATCTAGCAGAATATATAAAATAATATTACTTACTGTTTGTTATTAATATATGTGCGGATACCAGTCCAAAACACATAATTATTAAACTGGTATAATATGTGCCATATATTGGATGCTGAAACAATTAAAATTATAAAGTGCTTGTCAAGTACTTTGAAACTTATATTTTTAAAAGTTAAAATATATTTCTTTTATAATAAAATTTATGTGTGTTAGTACATTGTAATTTAAATTGTGTGTAGATCAGTTTTTTATTTTTTTTTTTATAAAATTTAGAAATTTGCATATTATTCAACAGTATTATTTAACTATACTTGTTTTAATCATTTGTAGGATTTTACTTATATTTTGCCAACTCACATTTTAGATGATCTACAAGATAACTAAGTGAATTCTTTTTGTTTTTATTAGAAGGAGTATCAAAAAGAAAAGATTCCCGTTGTGTTTCAACAATAAATAAATTCATTATGTCAAAATCCGAAAAAATCTAAAAAATATAAAATAATAAAATAAATATTTAGTCAACAAATTGCAATTTAAAGCAATACAGCACGACTAATTGTTACAAATAAACTTTTTTTTATTATAACATTTTTTATTAAATAGTTGTTAACGACAGAAATTTAATGAATACAATGTAATTTTCTAACATTCACGTATATAAAACAGAACAAACTTTTAACAGATTTATTTATTTAAACGTGGTAAATTTATGAATGGATTTAGTCGTCACTCTATGTTTAAAAACTTTGAACAATATAAAAAGTTATTAACAATTAAAATTAGAGTTTGAAATAAATATTCTTTTAATTTTTCCAGCCAAGCAGTTTTGAAGAAAGATCATTATACTGTCGTCATGTAGCAAATGTCTTCCTTTCACTTTCATTGAAAAATATAACATAAAGTTAATACGTTAATGTAAAGCACGCAATATCTGTTACAAATTCATAGTGTCATATGTTTGCTACATGAATTGCTTCATTTGACGTACAATGATGAAAATCTAATCATATATTTGTATCAAGTGCAAAACGAGAAATTATGTGCCCTTGGTGCCAAAAAGTAACATATTTGCACACATATACACACATTATATTATAGATCATTATCACTTGTTTTACAATGTAGGAATAATTATTACAAACTAATTCGAGGATATAAGAGAAGAAGGAACTCCGCACAAAACTTTTTCGAAAGATATTGGAGTTGGGTAGGAGATAAGCTTTCTTGAGATAAGGATGCAGATAAAGAAAAACAAAGCACCTTTTCTGCCACGCGTTTTATTTACCATGTTTAAATAAATAAATGCTAAAAATAAAAATTTATTTTACTAAATATAGAAGGTGTCATAAAATTACGATCTATTCAGTAAACTTCTTTTCTTAAAAACTTTTTAATAAATAATGAGTGACGTTTTTCTTGTTACTCAGAACAATTGGCTTTGGTAACGTATGTCAAAGTCAAGACGATTGGATTTGATTGTGCAAATCTAAATGTTCATCAAATATAATATATCAATAATAAAAATTTAAAACAACCTGATGCAAGATGTACGTTGCAAGAAATGTAATGAAACCTCTTTTTGACCACAACAACACATCATTATACCAAAGAGATACTATTTGATTTGATATAAGGCGTGCCACTTTTAATTTATGCCCAATGGGATCTGAGTTTTCGTCATGAATAATATCAGCTTCTCTGAAAAATGGTTTCAAATATGAAAAGTGCATGGACAATGTTTGCTGTAATTAAACAATTGATTAAGTCTTTACATTGTAGATATAACAAATTATTACACCACAAACAAATTTTTTTATAACTGTTTTTTGTAAAAAAAAATGTATTTAAGGTTTTCTGAGTTTTATAACAAATAGAAATAATATGACATTTGACATTTTCGGCTTATTATGTATTTTAATTTAAGAATAAAATTTTATTTGTCTATAAAACAATGTAATATTAACTGTTTACTTACACAATCATATACAAACTTTATTTAAAAAAATTAAAAAAAAAATTTTGCACATTTTTGATAAATAATTTCACGAATAGAAAAAAAGTATTAAAATTTGGAAGACAAGAATTTTGATGAGTTTCGAAGAAATAATTCATGTAATAAAATAATTTTGTAACAGTTGCCTTATTTGTGTAACCTAAAACGCACAATTATTTTGCATACTTTTAAAACTAAAGCTAAATTATAATCCGATTTGACATAAAGAATGATTATTTCAAATTTTGATCTAAACTGAAGATAGTGATATTTTTTTAATGTGACGCAAGTAAAATTCTATAGATTTCAGCTATTACCTAATTTATACAATGTGACATAAAAATATGTATATTTCTCAGTTTCAAAAATATATTACTCGATAGTTCTACATTATTACAATAATTATGTGATTAATTTATTTTAGTTTTAAATATTACCTTTGTAAAATCAGTCCCCATGTCACACTGTTGTTATGTTTAATATCCGAGAATACAACGTAGTCTATTTTTGGTAATTTGTCTACAGTATTTTCATATTTCAAAAATTGTAAGACTTGTTGTACAATACATTTTGCAAATTTTAAACGGTTTGTTACATTTCTTCTACCCCACAATGTAACATTTGCAACTGAAGTAGAAATGTTAACGAATGTGGTTATCACAATTTTTATGTGTTGAATGAACATTGAAGATGATTTCTCGAAATGCGTCCACATCATGTCATATTCATGTTTGTCGTTTTCTGTTGTTTGTATAGGCATATTTGAAAAAGCTGTGTAATTTTTATGATGCATGATAGAAATTTCAAACGTGGAATTAAGTGCTATCTCGTCCCAGCATGGGAATAGTTGTCGAGCAGTCATTACATCAACACCTGTCGCATTTAACCTATCATATTTGAACAATATGGTCAATATAAATTTCAATATAATTATACT